CTATGGTGAAAAACTACTCCTGGCTGCTACCTGCACTGTGAATAAGCCAGGAGTCCAGTCTACACAGCTGTCTGGCACTAAATTCACACCTCTTTGAGTGGGATCTACACTGGAAAAGCAATTTAGATCAAGTTTCACTTACAATATAATGCCACAAAAAAGACATTATTTCCAGAGCTTATGTATCCTAACCTCTTGCCTTTCCATATCAACATGATTTCTGCCATGCACTCAAAGCCCACACACATACAATTGGAAACAAATCCCTTTGATTGCACAAGAATACACTTCTATGTAAATCTGTGTAGAATTGTTTCCTTAGGCCACTCAAAAGGCTCATGTGGTTCATTACACCATTTCAGAATGCAGGTGAGGATGGAAAGTTCCCCACTTTGTCCAAAGTTAGTTTGTCAGGGAGAAGGCTATGAGAAAACATTGAAATGCCAGCTTTTTTTTTCTTTTTTTTTGCAGGCAGAGCATTTTTGGAATGAGGGATATTCAAATATGCGACCCACTGCCTGCAATCTAGAGCGGTACAGTCTAGAAAGGACTCTAAATGCACAATTCTTCTGACTATATAATTCATCTTTCTGTTTCAATCCATTGCTGACACTTGCCAAAGCAAATAAAGCAGGGTTAATAAAAAATAAGCTTATCATTTCCATGTGAAATAAACATACAAACAAGGCTACCATCATCACCCACAAATGACCAGGGTCATGTATGTTGGTCACAAATGTTGGTGTGAACAAGTCTGTGCAGCGTTTGCGCACCCCTGAGGTGGTATGATGGCTTCACCAAATGCCCATTCACGACTGTAAAACCTGAATCAGGTAAGTGAGAACTATCCTACCACTCCTCTTCTCTCCATTACGCCACTGAGGTTCACAAGAAAGTGGAAGCACAGCAGGGCAAAATATAGAGTTCACCTCTTCAAACAGAGTGTGCTGACCAGGTACTCAAAGGACACTTGCATGTTGTTCTACCAAGAAACATCTCCCTTGTACTGTCAAGGAAAACAATACCCATGCTTTTGCCCTATTTAACGGGTAGAGAAACGGGCATTCAAAGCAATAGCTCTTGTCAGCCAAAAGGATCATTATGCAGATCTATGAAATAGATGGAAGTATGCATGTGTCTGAAAGAAGACAAACCATTTTGTTTTGGTCAATAACTGTTTGCATCTCCAACCATTAATTAATTGAGCTGTTAACAAGATGCTGAGAAAATCAAGAGGAAATATTGCCCCGGGAAGCTTGAAGCCAGCGGCCTGTGTTATCATGATGGTTATTTTTCCTTCAACAAATGAAAAACAGAAAAGTCGAACTGCTTTCTCGCTCTTCTACAGAGGCAGAAAAGTATATGCTAGTAATTCCTGATACATTCCAACGTCTGGTGAATTAACAACAATGGCCACAAACTTGAATGCATCATGCTGCCTTGCACATAAATCATACATTTCATACTGCTGCACAATAACTCCATTTTGATGAAAAATCAGACTGCAGAAGAAAAGGCCTTTAATCTCTATCTGTTGCAATGCAGTCATTTTGTGAAACATCCTTTCCCTCAATACATAACAGCTATCAATGTGAATATAAAACCAAGGCAAATCAGGTTAACATTTCATTGCACCTTTTTCTCAAGATGCCTTTAGTTGTGCTTGGACCGGGCTCTGGTTCACCTGCACTATGAAATTCATAGCATCATGACACAAATTTCTGCAATGCTGCTGCAAAGAGAGGAAGGGGGAAGGGGGTTCTCCATAATCTATGATGACAAAAGCTGAAATCCTTCAGGGTCTCTGAAAGAAATGGATAATATTCATTATCCATAGCCTCCTGACATTTTAGCCTCTTAAGAATAATCTGATCCTGTGCTGGAACATAGGGGGCTTTGCAGAATCAGCTTTCAGATTTCATTGAGAACTCAGCAGCCCAGCTGTAAGAAGAGGCTAGTACTGTAGAGTAGTAATGGGGAGAGACGTCAGAGGCAAGCCTAGGAACCACCTCCCGCTTATAGTTACAAAAGAAGCATGTGACAGAAGCCAAGGCTGGAGCCTTCACTGCTGTTTCATCAGAGGTTAAGGTAGAAGTACAAAGCACACTTACAACTTTTTCCTTTTCAGGGCAATCACATGCCACTCTGATTTACTCCAGACTTTAACCCTCACACACATGCAGAGGAGAAAGTGTAATCCAAAGATTAATGCACTTCCAACCAATACAGTGGGACTAACAGTAGCAAGCAAAGATCAGCCCACCACAAGTATTATGAATGCAATCAGTTTCCATATCATATATTAGCAACAATGCTGCCTATGTATGGATAGCTGCTCACACAACAGAGTTGGTGAAGATATTTCTGGACATTTTCACTTGCGTGTCTCTTCATGCCCAATACACAAGGGCATGCTTCCCTCCAATTACATTTGCAAATATTTTTAATGAGGCAAGATGCCTCACTTCTCCTGACCCCCACAAAGTAGGCAATACTTTAGTTTCTGCTTTTTCAATATGGAGAAATATATAGAAAGGCAACCAGAGTATTTGATACACTCCCCGTAATACTTTTATCCCAAAGGTTTCTTCCCCACTCCTCTCAAAAGCAAACAAGTGTTTTATTGATCCAGTAAAGTTTCCTAACCCGCCCCCCCCAACATCCCATAAATAATTTTTTGCACGGTTGTGGTGGAGCAGACAGACCCTGCTTACAAAATATTCTGCCCTTAGTTCTTTAAACAAGCTGTCAGCATCTCCTACTTGATTCTCTGAAAAATTCCCCTTGCCAACATGTCCCATGACAAACCGGTAAGCTCTAGCACTGGCTCTGGAATGGAGGTGCTCAGACTACACGAGTCTGGGCTGGAGCAGGTCCAGCCTAGTTCTGTCTGGCACATAAACACACAATACGCTAGGGACAAATCAGGATGATCGAGAGCAGGGCACCGCTACTTGTTTGGAGCCCAAACACAGCAGACTTCGCTCTGTTCTCCTATAAGTAAGTAAATGAATAAACTCAAGGAAGCGAAGGGAGTGGGGGAGGAATGTGCCATGTCCCAAATCAAAGCCGTTTAGTAATCTCTGTTTATGAGGAGAGAGCAAAACGAAAAACGGGAGGGCAATGGGAGGTACTGGAATCGTAACCATGGAAAACTCTTTGCGATTGCAACAGGCTCCTGGCTTGAGAGATGCATGATGGTCTCGCAGCATATCGGCTCCACAGTCCCCCACTCACTCCTCCCCATGGAAAAGAATGCAGCCGGCTGCCTTTCCAGCAGGCACCCGCTCGTGATCAGCCGACGGCTGCCAAGAAACCCTTAATCTGATTTTAACATGTAGCCCAGTCCTAAGAGAGAGAGAGATCTGCAAAGTTGCTTATTTGTAGTAACTCAGACCCCCCCCTCCACTCCAGCGCGCGCGCGCGCGCTTCTTCTCTCGCCCCCTCTCCAAAGCTGCAGGTATATAGCGAGCAACCCGCATGACTCACGCGCACAACCAAGAAATTAGAGCTCCCACCAGCAAATCTCTAGGACAGCGCGACGAGTGGGGGTGGGGGGAATCCAGCACCCATTTATTCCAGCTGCCCCACAGTCAAGCTGAACTGCTGCCAGTCCTGCCTTCATACATTGTAGAAAGGGGGGAAAGCAACAGCCGCGCTTCCAGAGAACATGCCCGGAGGAAGAGGGGTGTGTGAATTAAATAAACACTGGAAAGAATAACGGCTCTCTTTACTGTCCTGTCCATTGCACCCCAACCTCTCTCATCCTAACAACATCCAGGAGAAAAAGATAACCCCGAAGAAAGAATTGTAGGCAGATTCTTTATTTTTATTTTGCGGAGAGGGGAGGGAGGCTCTGCAGCTCCAACCGGGAGGCGCTGCAAAAGCAAGGCAGCTTGCTTGTTATCTGGGGCAGCGGCAGAGCAGCGTGACCCACTAGTCCACGTGCGAGTGGTGCTGAAAAGTGTTCGGGCTACTCGAGTTTCTTCTGTTCATTCCCCAGCAATAAGCGGGGGTTGGGGGTGGGCTACCCGCAACTGAAGCTTCGCCGTAGGAACACACTACGTCTTCCTTCCGCCGGATCCTCTGTAAGTGCTGCATGGAGAGGAGCAGCACACGCCGGCCTCCAGGGCAGTCGGCTGCTTTTGCTACTCAGCCGGGGCTGTGCTCCGTCTGCACAAGCATGCAAGCTCCCTCCCCACGCTCCTCCATTCTGTCTGGTGTCTGGAGGAATCCCGGCTCATAGAGCCGCACAGATCCAGGCTCCGCGCCCTGGAATCTGTCAGAACAGCCGTACATCTAGCTCTCTTTCATTTTCCGCTGTCGGGGCATGAAGAGGAACAAGGAAGGGATCCGCTACAGAGAAATCAAAAGTCCTTACACACACGCACTTCCCGCTCTCTGAAATATGCAAGGTGCCTCGTAGATCTATAATACTGTAATGCTTCTCCCGCCCGCCTCCCCACTCCTGTGCACGGCTGTTCTGTGGGGTCTTATGCCCCAGGCTTCCAAGTTGGGTCTGAGCGCGCACACACACACACACCGGTTCCTTCCCGGAGCCCTAAATTCTATGCAGAGTAGATGCGGCGTCCTTGTGAGCCCCAAACCCAAGTGCATGTCAGAACGGAAATCCTTGCGTTCCGAGCTCCCCGGTACATGACGGGTCTGGGTCCCGCGCCCCGCTTATTTCGTGGTGCATGACAGATCCGGGATCCATACCCCCCCCCACCCGCGCGATTCCTCGACATGTAACAGATCTGAGTCCCATTTACACGGCATTCCTGGGGGGGGGGGCAGATGCCGGTGCACGGTGGTTCTGGGGTCCCTGCACGCCGAGACCCCAGTCTCCCTCCGCTCCAGACTCAGCTCCCCCCGGTCCCCCGTCTCCGCCGTGCACGGGAGCCCCCGCTGCCCCAGTTCGGAGACTGCGAGAACCAGACGTGCCGGCCGGCCGGGAGTGCGCCTGGAGGAGGCTGGGCTGCAGCGCCCGGAGCCCGTACCTGGCTGTCGGTGAGATAGTTGAAGACGAAGGAGGAGAGCTCTTCGTCCAGAAGCGCGCTGCAGTCCGGCCCCGGCTCCGCCATCTTCCAGCTCCTCCGGCAACGGCACGAAACAGCATGCGGCAACAGCCACCACGAGCAGCAGTCAGGAGCCAGCCGAGCCGGGCGGCGGGGCGGGGCCTGGAGCCCGCCGGTTGGGACTGGGAGGAGCCCAGGCAGCGGGAGGCTCGGCTGGGTTGGGCTTCGGCGGAGGCGCGGCGCAGGAAGAGGAGGGGAGCGGCCGCCGCCGCCGCCGCTTTGGCGGGCTTCGTTCTGGGAGAGACGCCGAGGGGGAGGCAGGGTTCGCGCGGCCCGCGCTTTCCGGGCCCAGAGACGCGCGCGCCAGTGAGGCGGCGCGCTGAGCTCGCTTAAAAGGCTCGCCGCCCGCCGGGACCTGTATTAAGCATTAAGCAGCGAAGGCCTTTCCTTTTACATTTTGGTCGGTGGCGGGGGGGGGGGAGGACGGACTTCCATTTCTATATCCTTCTTCCCTCAGCCCTTACTTCTAAAAGGAGACGTGGCGGGGCTTAAACCACGAATCATGCTACCTGATCCGGAGCTTGTGGTGGTTACCTGTTGCTTGGGGGGGGGGGGGAATTTTGCGCATGCTCCCCGCCACCAAAGAAAACTCGCTCCCGCTTCTTACTGCTTCGTGTATTCCAGAGCACAGCTGTAATTGGCGCGGAGAGAAACTCGAGGAGGAGACCCCCCCCCCTTTTACCTCAGTTTCCCCTTCAGGCTCATTCAGTGTGCGGCCTTTAAAGTGCTGCCCCTTCCCAAGGACTTCCTTTGGCATTCCCCCCCCCTTTGACTTGACAGAAATAAGGGGGCAGAAATAGTGCTATGCTGTATAACCACGTTAATGGCGCTTTGGCAGTTTGGTGTTCTTTTTCGTCAACATTTCCTTCACTTTGGCTGAACAGGTTGGCTCAGCATTCACATTCAAATATTAAAGCCTTTGCTTGGTTCTGGCAACCCCTTGACAGCCCCCCCCCCCAAGATGAGGTAGTAATCCCCACCTACGCACCAGAGATGTGGGAGCTAAACCAGCCAATCTACTCTTCCAAGTGGGGGGTTCGCTTCCCGCTGGCTCACTTGGCCAGGAACAAGCATCTGTTACTCAGGGCAAGTCAAAAGCAATCAGGTGTGATATTAGCCGGCTTGCTGTGCGGTATGAACAGAAGAGCTCCATGTTCATGGGGAAATGGAACATTTGGGTAGACCTGCTGGGCACATTGTTCTCGAAGTTGATGTGAAAGCTAAATATGCAGGTAATGCTGCTCTATAGACTCTCCCATTACCTCAGCACAATGCCTTCTGCCCACCCACCCCACTTCCCGGCCCGCTAACTCCTTTTGAAAGGCTTGCCGAGCTGACACATTGTGGTTCTTAGGTGTGGAATTTGCACAGCAGCTGTCATTCGCTCCTCTCAATCAATACGTTAGACAAGAACATGAAAAGGGAACACAATGGTCAAAGAGAGAGAGAAATCATACGTGCAGCTTTGAGCCAGCCAGCAGCCACTCCACTGAACGGTGCAAAACATGTAATTTGAATGTCCTGGACCAGGGATAGACAGGTTTCAAGCTTGTCTGATAAGTTTTGTTTTGTTCTAGAACTCCAGGATCTATCAGCCAGAGCCAGGTGCAAAAGACATAGATTTAGAATTAAAAACAAACAACTGAGTGCCTCTAAACCTTACAGATTTGTTTACAGAACCAAAATTGAACCAAGGCAACACGATAGACGTGGCGTGGAGAAAGTTGATAAAGAAAAGAAATCTGTCTCATAACATTAGAACTCATGGGCATGCAATGAAATTGAAAGTTGGGAGATTCAGGACAGACAAAAGCACATACAGGCAACAACCATTTTACACTTGTTCAGCAGGCATGCATCGCTGCAACCCAGAAGTGGCTGGGAAAGGGGGTGGGACGAGGTGGGCTTCCACCCACTCCACCGATATGCGGGGGTTGCCTGTAGTTGAACTTTAGAATTCACTCTGACTAGAGGCAGTGGTGGGTGGCCAAGTTGAGTGATTTTAAAAGAGGATTAGACAACTTCATGGAGGTTAGCAGTGGCTCCCAACCCTAATGGCCGTGTTCCATCTCTGCTGTTGAAAGCAGTATGCTTCTGAATACAGCTGCTGGAAACCGCAGGAGGCAAGAGTGCTCTTGAGCTTGGTGCTGCTTATGGGTTTTCCATAGGTGTCTGGTTGGCCACTGTGAGAACAGGATGCTGGACTAGGTGGGCCACTTGCCTGATGCATCTGACTCTTCTGCGCACACAGTCCTTTCATCCAAGTCCATTCATATTTGTAGCCTAATTTAGGAGGAAAGGTTTTCTCCTTGCTCTTGGACAACTAAGAGTTGGAAACGCTTACTGATGTACAGCAAATTACTCAGAGATCTAACAGGAGACCTGCATCTACCTTCTCCCCGTCCTTGTCCTATATGCCATTTCAGTAGCCTCAGAACTAAGATATACTACTCAATGCTATTTCATTATTTATTTCTTATATTTTCCCTTCCCTTCTCCCCATAGGAGCTAAGGGCAGCAAACAACAAAGTAGTAAAACAACATCATTAAAAACAAAATAATAACCTGGTTTTTTAAAAAATAAAATACTAAAAACAATTTAAAATGTTTTTTAAATAGTTGCATACCCTCGGAGCTAATACTTTTAAGGTGACTAGGAACAATATCAGCCACAAAATGCTTGGGTGAACAGGAATGTTTTAAAATGCTGCAGTAATGCTAACCATGAGGGAGGCAGATGCATTTGACCAGGGAAGGCATTCCACAAACAGGGAACCACCACTGAGAAGGCTCTGTCATGGGTCCTCATCACCGTCCGGGCAGCTATGAGAACTAGCATAGGATAGCAGCTGAGAGAATTCAGCCGATTCAGATCTCTCTTTGACCAAGACCTCTCTAGGACTGCAATGCTACACTCACTTAATCTGGAGATAGTCACATTTAAATTCTTGGGACTTGTTCCTGTTCTCACTCCCAGGTGCACCCAGCTTTATTCACTCTTTATTCCAGTGGCCCATAGGTCTTGTTTCCAGGCCAACCTACTAAGTATAGCAGCCAAGGAAGGGAAAGAAAGCTGGCTCATATTTACTCCTGCACGAAAAAGTGGTGGTAGTAAAGGAGAATTCACCACAGGTACAGGAAAACATAATTAATTGAGCAGGTGTTTGTTTTTATTCCTGCTGCTATAAAATTACAAAGAGGAATTCAGAAGAACTTGGTTGAATGCTTGGTAAGGATATATGTATATATATTCTTCCTGCTTTTACTAATGAAAAGGCTAAATATACAGTCTTAAGGTCATTCTCCAAAAGAAGTCAAGTTTAGAAAATGTATTTTACTGGTTTAAAGTTTCTTGAAGAGCATAACTAGAAATGTGTGCATACTGAATTTATTTTCTTCTTTTAAATAATGATTAACACATTTTTCTTTTCTTTCTTTCTGCACCCATGGACATTCTTTCCCCCTTTTTGTGCTTTTCTGTTTTTTCTTTTTGCATATACAGTGGTACCTCGGGTTAAGTACTTAATTCGTTCCGGAGGCCCGTTCTTAACCTGAAACTGTTCTTAACCTGAAGCACCACTTTAGCTAATGGGGCCTCCGTGCCACCGGAGCACAATTTCTGTTCTCATCCTGAAGCAAAGTTCTTAACCCAAGGTAATATTTCTGGGTTAGCGGAGACTGTAACCTGAAGCGTATGTAACCTGAGGAGTATGTAGCCCGAGGTACCACTGTACTTCTAGTATTTGCTGGGCATACTAGTACCAAATAGTAACATATCCAACCTTGTCAGGGAACAGCCACAATTTTGAACTTTTGCCTAACGTTGCTCTTCACCGCTACCACCATTAAAGCCCTATGCTGCTTGTGTTTGCTGCTAAGGAGCGTGCTTCTTACTATTGGTTGTTCTGGAAAACTTTCCAAGACATCTCTCTAATTCCACTGACTCTGTTCATTGTACAGAGCAGTAAATAATGGGTAGGGCAATAAATGCTGACAAGAGTTGGTCCTTAATTCTGAAGAGGCCAGATTTTACAGCACCTTGGGCTAAGTTGGCAGTGAGCCAGAAGTCCAAAGCTTGCTCCTTGTTGACATATAAATGCACATAGTCATTAGACTTTATTTTACAGTATACTGGGTTGTGTTGACAACCGCAGGAGACAGGGTTGCTGGATATTCTGTACACCTGAGCAGAATACATACTGAGCTAAATTGAAGAATGCAAAATAAAAAATTAAAATAAAAATCTTTCTCTTTACATGGAGCTTTGTTTTACTGACTGGTTGCTCTTTGTAGTGCAGGGTATACTTTCATGTTTTATTGCACATAGATTAAATGTTTCTTCTGAAAAAATTAACAATCAGACTGAAATCCTCTTTATGTCGTACCTGTTTGCTTATCCAAAGCAATTAAAAGGGAAAGGGCAGCTTTTGACAATGCAGGCAGCTGAATAATTTAATTAGTCAATATATAATTGCTCTGAGCAGAAGCACATGCAAGCTAGATCCCCCTACAAGCCCATCAAACTGTCTATATGATACTGACCTGCATAAAAGGATTATGCTGCTGAGAGATACGTAATTACTTGCATTGTGCTTAGGGTTTCTTCATGGGGTGTGTATTGAAGTTGCTTGTTGTCTAAGTCTAGTAACAATAGAATTGTGTCATTTATCTGCTCTGTCCTTGACTGTTTTAGGGCAGTCTCCAGTTGTTGTTTTTAGAATCTTTATAGACCACATTTTAAAAACTCAGCCAGGCAATAGTTTTAGGATCAACCAAAATGTCACAAAATAGTAAGCAAGTTTTAAAAATTCTCCAGAACTCATCATCAAGTTGGAGATTAAAACAATCCAGTCTGATGAGGAGTTCTGCAGAACCCGAAAGCTTGCTCACTATTTTGTGGCTTACTTTGCTTGGCCCTAAAAAGAAACACTTAACAATGGGTTCTTCTTTTTCTAATAGAGTAACATGGCTTTCTTTACTTTTTGTGTTTTCTAAAATAATACAGGCATAACCTGTACATTATATTTCATTTTAATGTACTACTGTAGATCTACAGTTATGATCATAGGATTTTAAGGGAACTTCTTCTAGTCCAGTCCTCTGTTCTAAAGTAAACACATATATACCACATGTTAACATTCTGGTCTAAAAATTAACACAGGGTGCAATGCACCTCAGAGAGACCCACCATTTTTAATGGTTTAGTAAAACAATCCAGAGTGAGGTATTCAACGTGATACAAGAGAAGACAATTAACCCACCAAGATGCCTAGATAATCTGATCCAAAGGAAAATTCCTATGGTGGTGAGAGGCAGCAGAAAGAAAAACCCATTCACTAAGGCTACAGTCTTATACAGATGAGGATTTAAGCCCTGCTGACATTGAGACTTACGGTACTTCTGAGTGGACTAATATATTACTCTAAATTACCAAATAACTGACCATTTAATGAAAGATGGCCATGCCAAATATCTGCATCTCTGATCATGCAAAGTGCAGGGGAGAATCCTTTTAAATAGACCCTAGCTGAAGAAC